CCCACTTATCCTTCTTTTGGATCTTTATTGGGTAAGTCAGCAAATGAGAATGATGATGGCATTTCATATAGTGCTTATGGAGTAAAATCATATTTTACTTTGTTTGGTTATAAGAGAATTATTCTCCTTCAAGTTTGAGAAAAATGAATTTATTGTTCTCTTTTTGATATTTTACTAGTATTGTCCCGTGCGATGCACGGTTAAGTATTGAAGATTTGTTTATAGCATTTCAATTAACCAAAATAAATTTATTTATTAGACACCCATCCATTACGTTAAAGGTATTTGACGAACAAAAAAAAAAAAAGAATAACAATTTAATGTTTAACAAAAAGTAATTGTCATTCTATATTATGTAAATAACAACATATTGCACATTATTAAACACTTTACGGTAAACAACGTTAGTAGTTGACATACTAACATTGTTCGAGTGAGTAATAAACGTTAGTGATATAAAATGAAAAATTATTCTAAATTACAAATTATTAAAGACCTCTTTGTAAATTACATTGGTGGTTGAATTACAACTATTGCGTGACTCATTACAAATCAAAATTTTGAGACCTTTGAGATTGCTCATTCAAAATTTTAAAACAAAAATATTGATTATAATTTGTTATCTGTCTACTATAAAAAGAACATACACAACAAATATAAAAAGCATAAAAATACCGTTACATCATTTTGTATGTAATAGTATAAAAAGACGACAGACAGACAGACACCCACACTCACAATCGATAATATATTTACATTTATATCGAAACTTTTTCATTTACAATTATTACTATTTTTAATTTTTTTTTCAATTAAATTGTTTTCAATCAGCATTCTTATATTAATTCTCATTATTACATATCTTTTTTTTTTTTTTTGTAAATAGAATGTGTGTTGATTCATTTTAACTTAAATTTGCCTATACTTCTATCTAGAAATTTAATTCTCACATTCTGTTTTATTTATTTAATATTTATTTATGTAAACAACATATGTGCTGCTCCAAATTTGCAGTAGAGGTCATTGTCACAGATTCAACACAGCTCCATGTAAAAGTGAAATCTGGTGTTTTCAATTCTAAGGCTCTTCCCACTTTAATTTTCAATTCCAAAGAGACAGCACTCCTGCCCTTAGAAATAAATGTATCCCAATGTAATAGACAAAGTAAGGCATGACAAAACTTAATAAAAATTGAATTAAAATTACAAATCATTAAATACTTCGTGATAAACAATATTAGTAATCGAAATACAACTCATTTCAATATAATAAAGAGCAATCATTATAATTATAATTTCTATAACAATTAATAATTAATAATAATAATAATAATAATAATAATAATAATAATTTTTTGAATATTTTATATTCATTAGTAAAAAAAATTCTTACATACCCCAAATGTTTAAATGAAAATCTTTTTTTTTTACATATCCTAAATGTTATGTAGATTGACTGTGTAAACTGAAATGTTTTACTCCTGAAAACCGATGGAAAACAAGTTGTACATAGGAGCCTATACATACAGGCTAATAGCAGGATTCAGTCACTCATTTGAATTTCAAAATGAGTAGCTGAGAGTCATTTGCTAACAACCTTCTAACATGTTACAACTTAGCTTGTCATTCCAAGTATTGCAATTAAACCATAATCAAAATTTAACCTTAACCTCTTTTTAAAATAAATAAATAAATCTTAACCTGCTATGTGAGAATATCAGAAACTGCAAAGATACTCAAATTAACAAGTATACATCACTTAAATGTATATAGAAGGTATGGAATCAAGACACAAAATCAATTGAACACAAGTACAATAAGATTCTTAGCCAATAATAACTATTTTCACTTTTGTAGAGGCATAAGAAAAATGTATAAGCTCCTCCATGTATTTTTCAAAGTCCTCATCATTGTAGCACATTGGTGACCGAGTGATGACAACCTCCTCAAGTGCTGGAAACCAAGCAAGTAGCTGCTTGATGAAAACAATACAATCCTCAAATGCTACAAATTCAATCAGCTTCAAATACTGTAGCATTTTAAGACTTTGAGCTACAGTACGCAATTCGTTGCTGTTTGGAAAAACATCAAAAATCTTCATAAAAGCAAAAAAAAAAAAAGTTAAAACATTTACACAACAAAATTGCATAAAGGAATGCAAAATAATAATAACAAAAACAAAAACAGTAATAACAATAATAATTAAAACAACTAGAATCAAGAAAATTACCGATAAATTTAAATCAAGTTAACATAATTTTGGGCATATTCGAAGCAAATGAATGAATTCTGAAGAAACGTCACTAGTCAAATAAGTGCTTTCTGATACTTCCAACATGTCCCCTTCTAGTACAAGTGGTTGTGGTTGCAGTTGGGGTTCTAGTACATCCTTTAACAAAATCCTTTGAAACCAAATAGAAATGAAGTTAGATTAGTTCCTAACAAATACAATTAAACAAAATAGAGGCTGGCTAAGATATTGACATACCGTGAGAGAATAATTATCCAAATCAAGAGTACAAACAGAACTCAAATCCAAGCTAATAGGGAGTTGGAAAATATGACAATCGTTGATTGTTAAACTATCGAGTTTTTGAGCAGTAATGTTCACATTGGACATGTTATCACATCTCATAAATGAGAGATTCTTCAGCATTGGAAAATCAACCGGAACCGAAGATCAACACCTTCAAAGTCAACATAATCAAAACAAAGTGATGTGAAATTTGGTAATGTGCAATGGCCATTTATTGATTCAACAGAGATTCCATTATTAAGATGCAATCTCCTTAATGTTAGGCAAGAGAATATGCAATTTGGAAGCCTGTATTCATCTTCATCCGTAAGACTAAGGTAAATTTCTTCAGCACCTTTTCGTGTCACCAAAAATAACCACTCGTCTAAGTAAAATGACCGAGGCCTAAGCGTATTCCTACTATAATAGGCATCGTGAAAATCAATGACAAATTTGCGGATAAGACCATTGTGCTGGTTGAGGACTTTGTTGATTACATACATAGCCGCATACGCTTTCTTCCCATAATCCATATAACTTTAATATATACAAATTAATGAACAAATAAATTAAAATTGAAACAAAACCTTAGGACGGGTGAAATCGACAATAGTAAATTGGTAATTATAAATTGCAAGCCTCAGTTGTATGCAAGGAAGATACTAATTTTGAAAGATGTAAAATTAAAGGGACTTATCCTAACCCACTGAAGCCATTATGAGCTTTATGCTATAGAAAGCATGAAGCATGATTAAAGTAGATTAGTACACCCAAACATTTCAAAAATCAATACCAAAAGCCAATATTGTACGGTGAAACTCGGCCAGTTAATCGAAAAGATGGAACATATCAACATAGAAATCATTGGTTTTTCAAAGTGGCTAGTACATTAAAGATGGTGAATCTGCAATAAATAAATGCATTTTTTTTTACAATAACACCGATAGTGGTTTTTGTTATTTTTTTGGTTTCAACCGGTTTAATTGGTTTAAGACTTTACTAAAACCAGTTGAAAAATATTATTACTAAAAAAACAGATGTTACATAAAGTTATAACCCAATTAAACCGGTTGAAATATGAAAAATAATAAAAGAAAAATATGAAGAGACAAAAATGCCCTTACTAAAAATAGAAAAAGTGATGAGAAGGACTAAAAGTATCCAAAAAAAATATTAGTCTAGGGATGTTAAATGACAAAAATAATAGTCTGGGACGAAATTTGGAATTGACACCAAAGAGAAGGGACCTCCGGTGGAATTAACTGTATAAATAATAAGTATTAATAAAAATCATTGAAAATTGGTAATGGTTATAGTTTTTGTTAGGAATATAGCGGAATAATGCGGAAGCGAAGAATCGAAAATTGAGAATTATAGAAGTTAAATACTAGGGAAAGTATATAGAATGAGAAAAGAATTAATAAAGTGGGAAAATATATAAAATATATACATTAACTCTAAATATAGAGTACAGTACAAAAGCAAAGATATATATACATGTTATCTACGTGAGAAAGAAAGAAGTAGAAAATGAATTCAAATTGATGCATTATTACAAATGAAAGCAAAAGCTATTTATAGCCTAAGAAAATGAGATAAATGCATAGGATTAGCGCATGTAATGGAGAATGCATTGCTACGTGCGTGGAGGAAATGATGCATGGTGAGTGGTGGTCTTCATGCAATTTGAGCCACATTCTAACAGTTTTATTCTGTATCAACTCGGAATAAGAAAGCTTCAAGAAAGTTCTGCACAACACCGATCCAAGCGGTCATGGAACCGCTGTACTCGGCGGAGAGATCAACTCGGACAATTTGGAACGCAGCACTAAGAAGACGAAGCATGGCGATTTGCCACCTCCGGCGAAACAGCCATCTCCGATAGCAGACATTGTGCTTGAAACACCAATGGACAACGATGCTGGGTTTCTGACTCCTCAATCCGGTGCATCAACACCGGCTACCTTCGAACGAACGCCACGGGATGCAAACATTCCAATGACGGAAGATGTGGATTCTGACAAAGACATAGCCTCAGACGATGACACAATGGGGGAAGACACGGAAGATGAAGACTGCCCGATGATACTAGTCACAAAGGAGGAGAAAAAAAAAAAGGCTATAGAAAATAATTAAAAATCTATAGATGTATAAAATAAACATATTATACTATTCAATATACATATCTCTAGGGCTAATATGTCAATTTAATGAAGAGCAATAATTATAATTATAATTACTATAGCTATTTAATAATAATAATAATAATAATAATAATAATAATAATAATAATAATAATAATAATAATTTTTGAATATTATATATTCATTGATGAAAATCGTTTCCTACGTACCCCAAGTGAGACAACTTAGCTTGTCATTTCAAGTATTGCAATTAAATGTAATGACAATAACCAAAATTTAATTGGATTAATCTTATCCAGCTATATGAGTATATATTAGTATAACTTGCAAGAAAACTCAATTCAATATCAGTACAATAATATCCTTAGCCAATAATAAATATTTTAGCTTTTGTGGAGGCACAAGGAAAATGCAAAAGCTCCTCTTCGTAATTTTCAAAGTCCTCATAATCGTCAGAGTCCTCATCGTAATCGCACACTTCTGAACGTGTAATAACAACCTTCTCAAGTGCAGGAAAGAAAGCAAGTAGCCCCTTGATGAAAACAATATCCTCCTCGTGCGCCAAAAAATCTATCAGATTCAAATTGTGAAGCTTTTCAAGTCCTTGAGCTACAGTATTAAATTCCTCGGAAAGTGTTCCCAAAACATCAATTAACTTCATAGAAGAAAAAAAAACATTTACACAACAAAATTGTATTAAGGAATGCAATAATAATAATAATAATAATAATGAAGATGATGATGATGATGGTGGTGGTGGAAACCACTAAAACCAACTAAAGAATTAATGCACGGAAATTACCAATAAACTTATATCAAGTTGGCATAATTTTGGGCACATTCGAAGCAAATGAATGAATGCAGAAGAAATGTCATCCCTTAAAAACGTGTGCTCTGATACTCTCAAGCATTCCACATTTAGTGCAAGTGGTTGTGGTTGTACTCCCCTTCTATTACATCGTTTAACAAATTCCTTTAGAACCAAATAGAATCAAGTTAGATCAGTTCCTAAGTCCTCACAAATACTTTAAATAAATAATAATCCAAACTAAAAAAGTCTGGCTAAGATACCTTGAGAGCATAATTATCCAAATCAAGAGTACGGATAGACCTCAAGTCTGAGTTAATAGAGAGTTGGAAAGCATGGCACTCATTGATTGTTAAACTTTCGAGTTTTTGAGCAATAATGTTCAAATTGGACAGGTTATCACAATTTATATATGAGAGATTCTCGAGCATAGGAAAATCAACTGGAACTAGAAGATCAACACCATCAAAATCAACATTCTCAAAACAAAGTGAAATGACATTTGGTAATGTCCAGTGGGCATTTATTGAGTCAACAGAGACTCCATTAAGATGCAATCCCCTTAGTGTTGGGCAAGAAAATATGCAATTTGGCATCCTGTATCTATATTCATTCATAAGAGTAATAAGATCGATTTCTTCAACACCTTTTCGTGTGACAAAAAGGAACCACTGGTCCAAGTCAAACGATCGGGACCTAAGCAATTTCCTACTATAATAGGCATCGTGAAAGTCAATGACAAATTTGCGGATAAGACCATTGTGCTGGTTGAGCACTTTGTTGATTACATACATAGTCGCAGACATCCAAATATCATTGTTTTTCTTTTGTTGCTCTTGTGTGGTTTGGGTCCTGATATCGATGAGAGCATGGGAATATTTTATGGTAATGTGGGAAAGAAACATAGAGTCAAAGTTGAGCTGTGTAAGTTTGAACCACATATCTCTCCAAAAGGTAGACAAAACAGCCATTCTAGCAGCTTGTTTAATCGGTAAGAACCCCAAAATCTTGTCAACTATATCTACAGGGAGTTCACTGATTCTATCCCTCCGCTGTAGCCTCCGTTGCAGCCTCCGCTGACATTTTCTCCCCATAATCCAGATAACTTTAATATATGCAAATTAAAGAATAAATAAATTAAAATTGAAACATAACCTTAAGATGGGTGAAATCGAAAAATAATAAATTAGTAATTATAAATTGCAAGTAGACAGAAAGATACTAATTTTGAAAGATGCAAGATGCAAAATTTAATGCTAACCCACTGAAGTCATTTTGAGCTTTATGTTATAGAAAGCATGAAGTTTCATCATATCTTTGATCATAGCATCAAGTTTCATCTTAAACGCACGACAAACAATATTGAGTCTATCCTCTGTTTTAAGCCCACGTTGTGCAACATACCACTCAATCTCAGTCCACTTCGGGTTGCATGTGAATGTTATGAACATATGAGGATAACCGATGTGCCTGCATATTCCATTTCATCTTGATGGTTTTGAATCATATACCTAGCTCCGCATGTGAATGATGATGGCAGTATAATTCTTTTCACCCTGAGTTGAATGATGATGGTAGTACAATATTTTCAAGGAATTTTTCCATTTATTACGCAGAATTTGTTTTAATTATTCTCACAATTATAATGGTTTAATTATTCACAAAATTTGTTAACTATTTTTCATTTTAAGTACATATTGACTTTAATTTGGGGTAACAATTCATTAGATATTAGTTAATTTCCATATAAAATTTTGTTACCAATTAAGCTTTATTATTTTTTTTACGAATTAATTAATATTTTTTATTAGTTTGGGTGGAAATTTAAAGAGGATAATTTGTATTTTATTAATAGTATAGATTGTTGTAAATAATAATTAATAAATTATTATTTTCTTATAAAATTACGCAAAATTTTAAAAGAATTTTCTCATTTATTACGCAGAATTTGTTTCCATTATTCTCACAATTATAATGGTTACTTATTCTTAGAATTTGGTAACCATTTTCCATTTTTAAGTACATATTCTGGGATGGCAACGGGGCGAGGCGGGCGGGGAGTATACTCCCCGTCCCCGTCCCTGTCGCTGCGACCACGTTCCCATCCCCATCCCGTCCCCGTCCCCCGCGGGGAATTGAAAATATTCCTCATTCCCGTCCTAGCGGAGAATTAGGCGGGGCGGGGATTCTCCATTCCCCGTCAACTCCTAGTCAAAATATTAAATAATTTAAAATTTTAATAATAAACAAATTTTAAAATAATATAAAATATTAATTATTATTTTATATTTGAGCAAAAAAATATAAAATATTTAAGTATATGATAATAAGAGCGTAAACTACATTTATTTATATATTTAATTAATTTCTATTAAACATTTGCTTACCAAAAAGGACTACATGAATATATAAATTTTATAATTAATTAAATTTTAGTCAATTAAACTTCACACGGAATAAATTTTATAAATTAATTAATTAATTATCATAATATTCTTTCCATAACTAATTAGTCACATATGGAATATTTTTGAAATATATATAGACTACTTATATATACACGGATATGGATATATAATTTTTATAATTAATTAAATTTTAGTCAACTAAACTTCACACGGAATAAATTTTATAAATTAATTAATTAATTAATTACCATAATATTCTTTCCATAAGTACTTAGTCACATACGGAATATTTATGAATTACATATAGACTAATTATATATACACAGATACAGAAATGCCCGTAAATTTTGGGGGGCGGAAAAATTTGGCTAGGATGATTTTACTTTTAATTATATGTAGACATATTAATTAGTTATTTATTAATAACATATTTCTTTATTTCCAGTAATATATTCTGATCCATTTTAATCAAGTATTAATTAGCATTTCATTTTCCAATTGACTTAATTTTCATGTCATTTTTATTACCAGGCAATAATTTTTTAATACATATTAATTAGATAATTATTAATATATTTTTTTTATTTCAGTAAATTATTAATAACAGATACCCTTTTCCAATTTAGATATACTATTGTTAATTCGTTTCCTTTTCGACATTGTTAATTTGGAGATTTTTTTTAAAAAAATATTGTACCATAATTTGTATATTTCGTGTCATTTTTAATCTCAGTCAATTATTTATTCAATTAACAGATTTCTTTTTCAATTTATATATACTATTCTTTAGGCGGAGTTGCAATTTTTTTTTTCATTTGAGTCAATTTGGAATTATTTTTAATTTTAAATGAAGTATTAATAATACTTTCTTTTCTAATTAGCCTAATTTTCATGCCATTTGTATTCTCAATTAAATATTTTTTTAATACATATCAATTAATTTATACTATAACTATTAATATAATTGTCATTATATATTTGAAAATTATAGATCTCGTGTCATTTTTTAAAAGAATTTCATGTTATTTTTAATCAAGTATTAATTATCATTTCTTTTTTCAATTGACCTAATTTGCATGTCATTTTTTTATTCTCAGTCAATAAATTTTTTTGAATACATATTAATTAGTTAATTAATAATAATAATTTTTTAATATTTTCATTAAATTTTTAATAACATATAGTTTTTCGATTTTACATATACTATAGCTAATCCATTTCCTTTTTGACATGGTTAATATAAGGATCTTTTTTTTTTCTTAAAATATTATACTACAATTTATACATTCCGTGCTATCTTCAATCTCAATCAATTATTTTTCCAATTAACAAATTCTTTTTCCAATTTACTTATACTATTGTTTGGATGGTCTGACCATTTTCTTTTTCATTTGAGTCAATTTGGAATCATTTTTAATTTTTAATCAAGTATTAATAATCATTTCATTTTTCAATTGGTCTAATTTTCATGTCATTTTTATTCTCAGTCAAATATTTCTTTTTAATACATATCAATTAATTTATACTATAATTATTAATATAATTTCTGATATATATTCAGAATTTATATATTCCATGCCATTTTAATCAAATATTAATTATTATTTCCTTTTTAAATTGGTATAATTTGCATGCCATTTTTATTCTCAGTCAATGATTTTTTAATACATATTAATTAGTTAATTATTAATATATATATATATATATATATATATATATATATATATATATATATATATATATTATTTCCAGTAATATATTCTATGCCATTTTTAATCAAGTATTAATTATTATTTCCTTTTCAAATTAATTAACTTTTTCCAGTAATATATTATGTGCCATTTTTAATCAAGTATGAATTATCATTTTCTTTTCAAACTGATCTACTTTTCATGCCATTTTTTCTTAGTCAATGATTTTTTAATACATATTAATTAGTTAATTATAAATAACAATTTTTTAAATATTTCTATGTTAAAGTAATTTTATAATACTAACAACTGTTACTATAAATAAGTTTCATGTGTAAATACAATATGTAACCTTTATTCATTTTAAAGTTTTGTTATGTAATAACTATATACGAAACATTGATAACTATATACGAAACATTGCGATATTACAATTGAAAAAAAAAACATAATATTATTTTATTGATTTCCAAAAATATATTATCAATTAAATAAAATTTGATATTTAAAATGAGTAATTAGCTAAAATAATAAACTTTGAATACACCGTATTAAAATGAAAAGTTATTACAAACATCTTAGTAAGATACATTAGTAGGTAAACTACAAAAGAAAATATATATTTTCATTTATCAGTAATTTCGATTACACCAGCAACACTAATTAATCTATATATTAATATATTAATTGTGCAATTTAGGTGTTGCCACATCCTTTACTAACATACTGTTAATTTGTCCAATGTCTAAACTCATGACTCATCTGTATAATCTTCATCATCACCACAGTAAAATTAAAAGAATATGATAGTTGTTAATTCATCCAATGTCTAAACTCATAAATACAATCTTCATCACAATACTCATAAAAAAAAATATTATGCTAAAGAATTAGATATGATACATCTACAATTCAATTTTCATGCATGAAATATTTTCACAAAATAAAAATAAAGTAATTAATAAATATAATATACAAATAAATTGCTAAAGTGCTTACCTGAAATAGTTGCGAAATATTACATTTTTTTTAAGATAAAACTACCAATAAAATATACTTTATTAAATTTATTATATACTACTTTTTTAATATATGCAATTGCATCATTGCATGTATATTAATAAGAACTAAATATGAAACTTTTGATTTTCATTTACATGATTGTATAGTAATTAACTACCAATGCAAAACAAATTTAAACTATATACATATAATTATATATATATATATATATATATATATATATATATATATATATATACACATATAATTATATATAATTATATGTATATATATATATATATATATATATATATATATATATATATATATATATATATATATATATATTCAATTTATGCATAGTTTAGAGGAAATTTAAATTCGATTGACTACAATATTTAAAATGAGTAGCTACCATATTTAGATTTGATATTTAAAATGTGTAATTAACTAAAATAATAAACTTTTAATAGAAAGTAATAAAATAAAAAAAATTATTAAAAACACTCAGATTCTTCATTTTGCATTTCTGGTTTTTGTATCCACCAAGTCAATATTATGTAATACAATCAAAGTTGTTCTAGGGGTTACTACCACCTCTAAATTTAAAAAAAGTCATCCTGCAAGTTTTCATCTACAATGATTGGCGACCATGGTTGAAACCCTTCAAGGTTGACAAAAGAGATAGAGACAAACATCCAAACAAAAAATAAAGTTAAAAACAACATAAAATTAGATTCTAGGATAAAGATAAATACCTTTTTCACCTTCAAAATGGATTGAATAGCATAGCAATTCTCTATGGTACTACACAACAAAGGAATAATCCTTATTCATAGGGATTGAACAATGTTATTGATACATCAACAAACTAAGCCTAAAATTATGCAGGAAAGAAAATACAATATTAATATGAATATAAATATAAATATGAATTTTAAAAATGGTAGTGAAAATAAACATAAAAAAAAAACTAATACACATATATTTACG